ATGACACAGCTATCACATATATGGATATATTTCCAAAACAATTGAAATCAGGATATCAAAGTGATATTTGCAAACCCATGTTCATAGCACTATTCACAATAGCCAAGTGGAGCAACCCAAATCTCCATGAATGGGTGAATGGTTAAGCAAAAATGTAGTACATAATAGAATGAAATATTTCTCAGCCTTAAAAAACAGGGAAATTCTGACACATGCTACAACATGAATGAACTTTCAGGGTATTGTAGCAAGTGAAATAAGCCAGTCATGAAAAGAAAACACTGGGTCCAGCCCCACCCACTAATGTGATGTAGCCATTGCAGCCACATCTTGCAGCTGGACTGAGCACCAGCTCCATCCCCCGTGCACCCTGGCTGAGGCTCTGCCATGCACAGCCCATGTAGGAGACACCCCGTGAGTGCCTTGCTCTGTGACCAGGGGAGATAGCGCTTATAGCCCCCGAGGCCATCTCCCACACAAGGCCACTCCTTCAAGACTAGGAGAGATGGCTGAGTTATCTAATATGTAGGAAAAAATGTAGAGAATTGGGCAAAATGAGGAGACAAGAATGTGTTCCAAATGAAAGAACAAGACAACACCTCAGGAAGAGAACTAAAGGAAATTGAGGGAAGCAAACTACCTGATAAAGAGTTCAGAGTAATAATCATGAAGATGCTCACCAAATTCAGGAAAAGAATGGATGAACACAGTGAAAATTTCAACAAAGTGAAAAAATGTAAGCAAGTACCAAACAGAAGTGAATGACTGCACTGAAAAATGCACTAGAGGAGTTATAGCAATTTGAAGGAGTAGAAAGACTCAGTGAGCCAGAGACAAAGCAATGGAACTCACCCAAACAGAGCAGAAAATGAGAAAGAGAAAGTGTAGATTCCTTAAAGGATCGTCAGGACATCAGTGGAAAAAAATTTGCATTATAGGTGTCTCAGAAGGAAGAGAGAGAAAAGGACCAGAAAAAAATTTTTTGAATAAATAATGACTGGGAACTTACCTAACCTGGAGAAGAAAATCAGATATCCCAATCTAAGAAGACCAGAATTTCAAATAAAATGAACTCAAAGAGATCTACACCAAGACATTTTGTAATTAACATGGAAAAAATTAGAAAGAGAATCCTAAAAGCACCAGAGAAAAGCAACTTGCTACATACCAAGGAAACCCGAAAGGCTGTCAGCAGATTTTTCAGCAGAAACTATACAGGCCAGAAAGAAGTGGCATGACATATTCCAAGTGCTGAAAAGAAAAAAACTTCCAACAAAGAGCTCTCTACCCATCAAGGATATCATTCAGAATTAGAGATTAAGAGCTTTCCAGGTAAGCAGAAGCTAAAGGAGTTCATCACCATGAAATAGCCCTGTAAGAAATGTTAGAGATTTATTTAAGCCTAAAAGAAATGGCACTCATTAGTAATAAAACATATGAAAGTAAAAATCTCACCAGAAAAGGTCAATTTATAAGAAAGATAGTGGATCAGTTACTTAGAGAACAAACACAAAGGTTAAAAAATAAAAGTAGGAAAATTGAATAAAATTACAATAGTAAAGGGAAACAAAATAAAAAGAAAAGGAAATTGGAGTAGTGAAAAGGTAAAGCTTTGGAATGTGTTTAAAATTAATTTTTTTTTCAACTTAAAATGGACTGCTGTTTACATAGGATGTATTGTGTAATTCACAGCAACTACAAGGAAGAAACTTATGGTAAATACATAAAGAAAATGGGAAAGAAACCTAAACATGACACTAAACAAAGACATCAAACCACAAGGGAAGAGAGAAACAGAAAAACAAAGAAACAGAGAGGAACACCAAACAGCCAGGAAACACTTAACAAAACTGCAGTAAGTAAATACTTAATAATAGTTACTTTAGATGTTTAGAATTCACTAGATTCACCAATCAAAGAGTGGTGAATGGATTGAAAATAAGATCTGTCTATATGCTGCTTACAGAGACTCACTTCCAAAATAAGGACACATGCAGACCGAAACTGAAGGGGTGGAAAAAATACTCCATGCAAATGGAAATGAAAAGGCAACTGAAGTAGCTATACTCATAACAGATGAAATAGACATTATTACAAAGACTGCAATAAAAGATAAAGAAGGCATTACATAATAAGGGTGAGTCAATCTCACAAGAAGATATAACACTTACATATTCACCCAACAGTGGAGCACCAGAATACATAAAGCAAATATTAAGACATGAAGGGAGAATTGAAAGCAATACAGTAATAGTAGAAGACTAATAGCCCACCCACTTTCCTTAATAGATCATTGAGACAAGAAATCAGTAAGGAAGCATAAATCTTAAATGACATGTTAGACCAGATGGACTTAATAGATATATACAGAACATTGCATCCAAAAGCAGCAGAATACACATTCTTCTCAAGACACATGGAACATTCTCCAGGATAAATAACATGATACCACAAAGCAGTTTCAAATTTAAGAAGACTGAAATCATATCAAGCATCTTTTCCAACCACTGTGGTTAGAAACTAGGAGTTAATCGCAGAAGAAAATGGAGAAAAACCACAAACATGTGGAGATTAACATGTTAGTGAACAACCAATGGGCCATTGAAAAAATTAAAACATAACTAGAGACAAATAAAAATAGAAATGCAATCTACCAAAACCTTTAGGACACAGTAAAAATGGTTCTAAGAGGGGTGTTCATAGCAATAGAAATCTACCTCAGGAAACTAGTAGAATTTCAAATAACCTAACCTTATAACTAAAGGAACGAGAAGAAGAGAACAAAGGCCAAAATTGGCAGAAAGAAGGAAATAATACAGAACAGAAATAAATGAATTAGAGACCAAGAAGACAATAGAAAATATCAATGAAATTAAAAGGTGGTTCATTGAAAAGTTAAACAAAATTGATAAACTCCTAGCTAGACTAACCAAGAAAAAGAGAGAGTACTCAAATAAATGCAATCAGGAATGAAAGACAAGTTAGATTGATACCACAGAAATACAAAGGGTCATAAAGAGACTACTACAAACAATTATATGCCAGTGAGCTGGACAACCTAGAAGACTTGGATAAATTCCTATAAACATACAATCAGCTGATACTTTATGGTGTTTCCCTGGTACATAATTAGTTGTTTTTCTCCTGCTGCTTCTAAGAGTCTCTCTTTATCTTTTATTTTTGATGTTTTAATTTCCCCATGTCTTGGTGTGGCCCTCCTCAGAGTCATCCTGTTTGTGGCTTCTGCTGTTGAATGCCTCTAGTTTATTTTTCATTTTGTTTATTGTAATCTTCAGCTCTTATTGATTCTTTTGTATTTTCTGTTTTTCTTAAAGTTCTTGCTAAGTTCACCCACTTTTCTCTGAGTCCAATGAGCATCTTTATGACCATTGCTTTCAACTCTTTATTAGATAGATACATTGCATATCTCCATTTCATTTAGGTCTTTTTGTGACATTTTGTCTTGTTCTTTCATTGAAACATATTTCTGTGTCTCCTGATTTTGTCTGATTCTCTTTTTGTTTCTATGTATGTCTCCTGGTTTCAAAAGTAGTGGCCTTAGGTGGAAGATGTCCTGTGGGACCAGAAGCCACAATCACCCCTGATCACCAGAATCAGGCCCATTAGGGGTGTCCCCTGCAAGTTCTGCATGCACCCTCCTATTGTGATTCAGCTGAAATTGCTGGGCTTGCTGGTGAGTAGGGCTGACCCCCAGTCTGCCTGTCTGTAGTATTTGGCCAGGACTGCTGCAGGTATACTGTTGGGTGGGGCTTGCCCACAGGGCACCTGCTGGCTGAGGCACTGACTGTAGCTGCTGTGGGCTTGCTAGTGGGTGTGGTTAGCTCCAGAAGTAGGTGGCTGATGGACTTGTAGGTAGGCAAGGCTGGCCTCTTGCTCCCCAGGAGTTACTCTGGAAGGGTGCCAGTCTCATCTGGGGCTGCTTGCTTGCTCAACAGTTGGGGCAGGAGCTGCTTTGGAGGGAATCCCTCTGGGCAGGTGGGTTCTATGAGGTAGCTCTACAGGGGTACTCTGGGGCAGGGTGAGTGGTGCTAGGAAGGCAGATGGAGAACTGGCTCTCACCAGCATTTGGCCAGCATAGGCTGAAGGACAGTGAGAAAAACGACACCTGCCAGTATTTTCTTTCCAGCCGAAAGCTCCTACAGATCTCCACCCCTCCAGCACATGCCCTAATATTATCCAGTAAATCTCCTTCATGTACAACCAGATGCTTTTCAAACTGCTGCCCTTGCCTGCTTCTTGGATCAGGTGATGTAGTGTGCTGGCCCTTTAAGAGCAGGTCCTGTTTCCTGTAGCCCCCAGGCTGACCCATAGTTGAGGCCCCTGGATATGAGCCCTGCTGGTTTCAAAGCCATATAGTATGGGGCTCGTCTTCCTAGTGCAGATCCCCCCGGGTGGGGGTGCCCAGTGTGGGGCGTGATGTGCCCTCCTCAGGGAGGGCCTCCCTGCCTGTGATAACCCTTCCACTTGTGGGCCACGTGAGGGTTCCCACCATGCCTCTGCCTGTTACCCTTCCCACTGTGGCTTTTTGCCTAAGGAAGTGCTAACCCGCTAGTCTCCAGGTCTCTGCAGAGTGAGCTGCGTTATATGGAGCTGTTGCCTTGGTGTGTCTGTGCGAGGAGGGGGCTCAGGATCCCCTGCTGCACCAGCCTCCTGCTCTCGTTCCCATCCATGTTTCTCATTAAAATCTACATTATATATTTAAAGGTATCAGTTTTTTCAGTATTTTTCATTGGTTAAAATAAATGGTGTAATTTTGCTATTTATATTTAATGGCAATTCTAAAAGGATAAGCCATCTGTTTTTCTTATGCATACAAATTCTTATCATATATATGTATGTACATATGCACATATATCGGGTGGTGTGTGTGTATTCATATTTTGAAAAATGAAATCAGTCTTGCTTTGCTTAATCACATCTTTAAGAATCGATCTTAATCCTATGTATGTCATTATGATGTATTATTTGCTGTATTCCAGAACATTGGAAAGAAGATGACCTGCCAAGAGTTCATTGCAAACCTCCAAGGGGTAAATGAGGGTGGTGATTTCTCCAAGGATCTCCTGAAAGTAAGCACTAAAATAATTGTTTTGCATATGTTTGTATTGTTGGCTTACATTTTAATCCAAAGGCTGAGGCTCACTTAAGTTTATCGATTTTTTGCTCTTGGTTTTATTGGTGATGTTTCTATTGGGCCTTGTCCTTGGTGCAAGAAACTGTAAAGTGTCCTTCAACTATTAATTGCTAAAAGTCCACATTGTAATCAGTAATAGTGAGATAACAAGTAGGTTTGGAATAATAGTGATACAAATAGTGGGACGTTTTTTATTTATTTTGCAAGGAGACTGTCAGAACTTGAGAAAAGGTACGAATTTGTATTCATTATGGGAACAAAAGGCATTTGCAGACTAATGGAAGCAGTTCCGACTATTCAGTCTCTAGATACAGAGCTACTTGGGTTGTCTCTGGAATAAATTAAATCTGAGTAATTGTAGAATGCCTGAATTATTTGCACTCGATTTTATTATTGGCAACAATCAGCATGTTTTTCCCTGTAATTAGACTGTTTTCAAGGAGTCAACAAAATGGAGTTTATAACATTCTAAAGCTGTATAAATGAAATATGCATTTGAACAAATACAAAATAGTGATTGATAATGGATGCAAATATTTTAGAAGTTGAGGATAAGATATGCACATTGAGAGTGTGATTTATACAGATTTCTATTTGAATCTGGCCTTTCATTTTAAAACTGTGCAATACGGATTTCCTCTAGCAGTTGTTTTGAGTGAATGCTATGAAGGGCAGCATATTTGAATCATGGTATAATATAGAGAGGTACCATTTGAAAGATAGGTATTATATTTTATACAAGTTCTAAACTATAAAAAATATATAGAATAGAGTTCTGCCAGACTTGGAAAGAAATATATGCTGTAGAAAATGAAAGATGGTATAAAAATAGGGTATTATGAGATTCTATATCTCACTGAAGCTCATTAAAAAATTGCACTGTGAAAAAAGTAGGAAGAAAGTAGCTTCAGGTTATATAAGGAAGGTATTTTTTAAGTTGTTCTTTACAGAGCAAATGCTGCCATTTCTGAAACTCTAATTCCAAATGAGAGTGAGAAATAAAGGTGTTGGACTGTGACATAATAAATATGTTCTGTACATCCATTGGTGATGCAGGTAGAGCTGACACAAGCCCCCAAGCTCACAAGCCTTTTTTTCCGACGTGACATTAACATGGAAAATAATAGAGCCTTTTATGTAAGAGTGGATTTGTAAGGCTTTTATGAAGTTATGGCAGAAGTAGAAATTGACAGGATTTTAGGTTTGAATGGGAGACTCATGGTTACATGCTTGACTGTGGTAAATTACTGGCGGGTTTAGAGCACAGAGCTATCTGAAACCAAATGCAGCCGCTACAGTACAGTCAGTGGCTACCACTCACCTTGGGTTAACGTATTCTTTGGTTTACTCTGCCCAGAATTTACTGGATGGTTTGTTGCAGTTGTACAAGTGAGATCATGTTTGCAAATCTCAAGGCGGCAAATACGTATTATTCTGTTCTTCATTTATGATGGAAGAGGGCAGTGAAATGACATGAAAATGACAGAGGCACTTAGTATGGAAAATATCAAGTAACATAAGAGTCCCTTTCATAACAGACTCCAGCCGCTCAACACCCAAGATGAGTTTTCCATTTCAGTAAAAATCTGACAGCGAATTTCAACAGGAAAAGGTTTTCCTCAGACCATTTTTGTTCCATGTGACTCTTCTCTGTGGCTATTCCTTTCCTCCTCCCCCTCCTGCCTCTTCCTACTTCTGTTTCTCCTTATTTCTGCATTTTACTTTCTCTTCTATTTTGGTTTTCTCTTTGTCTCTTCACTTCTCATTACATAGAGGGAGAGACACAGGGACTTTGGGCCAATGTCTGCCAGTTATTTGAATTAAATTAGAAGGAAAGTAGCCATTTCAAAGTAAACTTATGTGAATGAAGGGAATACACAATAGGTAGTAAGAGAAAAGGAGCCAGTGACAGGTGGCACAGGAATGTACGGGTGGGTACTGGCTGCACACTCATTCCACTTGACGGAGTCCAGACTGAAGATTTTGCCAATGAGACATGAAACCCCAGTTGTTTTCTATCCCAGCTCTCTTCCTGCCACCTACATTCCATACTTAAATAATGTTCTCCTTGATACTTTTATCCTAGTCATAGATAGGTCTTTAGTATTTTATTTTTCTTGAATGACAATTGAATTCAGTAGGTACCAACAGGACTTAGAAACTAAGAATTAACTAAAAATTATCTTCTTTGATTTAAGAATTTCTGTATCATCTTAATGATGCAGAGGATACAAATAACAAAATACCTAAGCCTTTCAGAATGATGCTGATATAACTAGAAAAAAAGTACCATTTGCAGTGTTTTAAAAGCATAACCTCCTCCTAAATATGCTTAAACACACAAATAGCTTTACAGAATGGTTCCAGTTACAAGGCATTATCACTGGAAATCGTAAAAAATCTGGTAAATAAATCTTGTGTGGGCTAGTCAATAACATTCCCCTTTTCAGGCTATTGCTCATGATTGGATTTGTGACTTTAGAATATTTTTCAGAAGTTTAATTTTTTTTTTTTAGAAATTGCTTTCTTTGGGGATGTACTAACTTTGAAATTACTTTGTGCTTAAGGAAGACTGAAAGTTTTTTCACTCTCAGGTGTGTAGTTAATGGTGAAGAGAGAGGAGTGTGCATGTGTGTGTGTGCATGTGCCCGGGTGCCCACACACTTTAGGGTCGCTAAGTAGTGGGGAGTGACAGTGACATTGAAAGAAGATAACTTAGCATGCTTGGCTTAGTGAAATTCACATGCATCCTGTACTAATGGAATGATAAATAACATAGTGAATTAAATTGTTTCCTATTCTATTAGTTAGAGTGCAGCAGTTCTTAAGCAGATGCATTTGTTTTCCCTTGCTTTCTAAAAGACAGAATTTAGGTGAGGTTCTTTTAAAAGTTCCCTTCACATATGTAGCAGGCTAAAAGCATTATATATATTTTTAAAAGCAGTTTTCTCTGGTATTTTTAGGGAGTAACAATTTGTGAAAATGATGGAGAAATTAGCCAGGAGAGTAGCGTTTAAACAGATAGACTCAAATGGCCACAAAGAAAAATGCATTTTAAATAAAGATTAATGTGTCTGTTGGACAAGGAAGAAACATAATTAGGAAATATAAATTATACCATACAGGTTCATAGCCATTTGGGTTTTTAATTAATTACAGCTGTATATAAGGATAAATTAAAAAATTAATCAGCCATTAAAGATTTAGAGGTAAGGAAGTATTTATAAGCTCAAACTCTGGAAAGGACATCTTTACCCAGTGACATAAAGAGCTGTAAGGAATTTTCTTCAAAAGAGGGAGAGCAAAGCCAGCCCGGCCTCCTCCAGAGTTCCATCTACCTATCTAATATGACCCTTTCAGCCACAGAGAAGATTGAAAACTTAACACTGAGAATTGCCCTAATTTTCTTTTTATCAAAAGGCTGACCTCAAGCCACATTACCTCTCCCTTTTTGCCCTCTCCTCTTTCTTCTTTGGTTCCAATATTATCAATAAGGACAAGTATAATTTGGGCAATCTGAACAAGATAAGTTTTTATCAATGTCAGCATTCTGCTTGTGATATTATACTGTAGTTTTACAAATTTTAACTTTGGAGGAAACTGGATAAATAAAAGGTACAAGGAATCTCTCTTATTAGACTAGAGCTATGTCAGTGAAAGTTGCAATGAAACATAGGTCCACTAAAAAAAAAAAAAGAACAATGCAAATGGGGCTATTTCTTACCACTCAGCCAGAGATTGCACATCATATAACAAACAGCTCGGTGAAAAATTCCTACCTTTGTTCTTTGTTTTAAAGCACTGAATATCATGACCAACAGATGAGATATAACTGTACAGCAGCATTAAAAATAATGGTATATTAAGAAAAAGTCAATGGGAGTTAAATAATATTTAAAACATTATTACTACTCTGGATGCTGTGGGGAATTGTTTGGGAAGAAGTAGGAATAGAAATGGAAAACATGGTAAAGAAATGGTTGCAGTGGTCCATTGGAGATGGAATGGTGGCTTCGCTGTGACAGTGCTGAGGGAAATATATTCGATATTGAATTATCTTGAGATTATTTTTAGAGTCTCTGTTTCCCAGTTGTTCTCCTAGATTGCCCCTCTGTTCCTGTGTCATCTGCATGCTGAACCACATGGAGTAGAAGAGCAACAGAAAGTAGGAAACCCCAACTGTTTCTTCCAAGCTAATGACTAATGTGTTACAGGCTGAATGCAAGGGAGGCTTTGTGGCAGTGTGAAGTCTGTTGAATCAGATCTGGACAGCAAGCAATTAGCTGTTTTTTCACGTATAACACAGATAGTCATACCTCCCTCTTGGAGTGGTTAGGAGGAGTTAATAAGGGGATGTGTGTGCTGTGGCTAGCACTGGGCAGCTGGGATGTGCTCAACTCTCGGTAACATTTGTGTCTTTGTTTTTTATCTGCTCTTGTTTTGAGGTCTGGGCTGTGGAAGTCACTGGGCTCTAAGCCTGTCTTAGTGCTGCTGGTGATGGAGCCTGGAGTGATCATTTAATCTCTTTGTGCCTTAGCTCCTTTGCTTGTAAAATGAGATATTTGGTCCATGGCCGTAATTGTCAGGTTTGCAGCCCAGGCTCCCATAGCCAGTGTCCATTGCTCACCCCTGCCTGTCACCATGGCTTCCCACCCCACCAGACTTTCCCTGCTGCTTTTTTGTTCTCAAGCTTACTCATGCCATGTCTTTGGAGCAAAACATTTCTGGACAAAGAAGTTGGAAAAACTCTTCAAGGAGTGTTAAGTCTAAGCATTGGGAGTGTTCTTTAGCATCAGTTTTTCTTTGTAAACATACATCATCTCTCTCAAGTGTTAACTTTTATATTATATTTGTTGGTTTGGACAAAAAAGTGTGTACTTAATTGTGAAAGTTTCAACTTAAGCCTGAAAATTCCCTGTGTTGTAGCAGTATTCT